TTAAAAAACTAATATTATTGATATTTCTCTTAATTATTAATTGTGTGTGCATACCATCATAAAGTTAAGATAATATTTTTACTACAACATTGTGTGTCATCAAAAAGTGGAGTTTGGGGGTCGGGCCAGTCTCTATTGGAATTAATCCCATATGTTCTGCTGTTCACTGCCTATTGACTCGTAAATGTCGAGGTACTACCATGTATGTATGTATGTATGTATGTATGTATGTATATATATATATATATATATATATATATATATATATATATATATATATATATATATATATATATATATATATATATATATAAATTAACCAACAATGTGCTGGTGTCAGTTCTATCTATAGGAGGCGAACACAAGACACCTGTGGAGTTTTCAGTGAGTTCTATTTCCTGGATAAACAGAACGGTGGCACTCCTTGTCTCTGTCTGCAACTAGCCTCTAGGCGACATGTGGCGATACATTAACAGCTCATATGTAGGCAACTACTTAATTAGCGTGGGGCATGGTAAATACATTGCCACACGCTGCTATAAACTGAATAAATAGTGTATATAAATGGAGCACATACATAATATACATACATAATATACATACAGCATACATAATATACATACCTCCCTCCCCCTATCTCGCTCATAGCAAGTCTTGGCGGACCTTTTCTTCGGATCCGTTCTGAGCATCGAGAGCGGGCGGGTCCCGTGTTCGTGCCGCGAGTTGAATGGCGCGCGATTTGAATGGCGCAGCGATTTGAATGTACTTCACATTTTAATGTAAAGAATATTCTCCAAGGGCAACTGATTTGCAACTGGTGAATGCTAAACCCGCGTATGTGAAGGCCGACTGTACTTTCTAAGGCACATCACCCGCCTTTGTCTGACGCGCCACGCCCTCTCGGTTATGTCCACAGCACGTTTCCTTTTGAAACGGGCTAATACAGGTTGTACTCTCTAATCCGGCATTCTGTGGTCCGAAACCATTTTAGTTTGTCCAATAGGTCGATAGGCAGGTTTTTTTTTTTTTTTTTTTTTATCAATTATTATTATTATTACAGGAGTATAAAAATTTTGCCCCTCAGGCCCCAATGTGGGTCAGTGACTCATGCCCGGTGGGCTATGCATGTGTTCTGGGTATCAAGTTCTATCTACAGGAGCGAACACAAACACCTGTAGAGTTTTCGTAGGTTCTATTTATTGATAAACAGAGATACACAAGCGATAGCTGCGCCTTACTTGTCTGGGGTCAATCTAGCCTTTTAGGCAACATATGGCAAGTGATACATTAGCAGCTTCATATGTCGCCAGGCATTATTAATTGGCCGTGGGACATGAATACATTGCCACACGCTGCTAGCTAGCTGAATAAATAATGTATATAAATGGAGCACATACATAATATACATACATAATATACATAGCTCATACTATACATACACCTCCCCTCCCCTATACTACCATAGCGAAGTCTTGAGCGACCTTTCTTTTGGATCCGCTCTGAGCGCCGAGGGACTTGATCACTGGGAGGGTATGGACTCAACACTGGTGGCGGGTCAGCAGAAGGCGTTGTTACGCGGAGAAAAACGGCGTTTCCTCCACCACACACGGCCACTGGGTAAATCCAGACCTGGTAGTCCCGTGACCTACCGAGACCCATGACTACGCCCACTTTGTCCCAACGAGGAGGCCGGATCCGAACACGAACTTGGGTGCCGACACTCAACCTGGGAGGAGAATGGGCGTGGTCGATAGAAGGGGCACGACGCCTTGAACACGCTCAGCGGCTCGGCGATCATTATCCTCTGTCTTGGCCTGCCACCCTTGGAGAAGGATTGAGGTGAGCAGGACAAGAGCAAGGGGATGCCCATACAAGACCTGGGCAGGGAGCGCCCGTGTAGTTAGGTGTGTTACGGAGTTCAAGAAGACCCAGGTCGAAGACCAGAGTCAATATTCCCAGAAGGGCCACTTTGAGGATGAGGTGCTCAGGGATTTGACAGCAGCCTCAGCGTACGTTGGACTGCGGGTAATGGGGCAATGACAACACATGCCGGACTCCATCGGTCAAGGAACACAGCAAAGTCCTGGCTTAGAATCGGGGCCTCCGTCAGTTCGCAGGCGCCAGGAACACCCACGCCACGGAAGTAGTGGCGGAACTTCTGATGGTGGCGGCAGACGCCGTGGTCATTACCGCACTTGATGACAACCGACCAACCAGAGAGACGGCGACGATAACAAGGAAGGGCCTTCCTGACACACAGAAAAGTCGGCCGACACAGACTCAAAGGGGCGGGTGGGGTTGTCGCCACTCATGAAGGGTTCCTGCTGCTGGCTGGGTTGTACACGGCAGGGCTACACGCACGGACAACATTGGAGATGTCGGAGTCGATGCGGGCCAGAACACAGTCTCTGTCGGCACGCCGCTTGGTGGCCTCAGCTCCACGGTGACTGCTGTGAAGGCAAGCCAAGACGCAGGGACGTGAGGCAGCAGGGACAACTACACGCGTTCGCATGAACAAGGTCCCTGTCGCAGCAGAGTTCATCACGGAGTTTCCAATGGAGCAGGGTGTTGTGAAGGTCGTGAGCGACGGGTTGGGCAGCTAGGAGATGTTCGATAAAACTCTGCTAACT